GTATGTTTATATTGTTTATTAAAGTTATTTTGTTTTCAAAAAAGTGGGTTATTTTGTCGTGTATTGTTTTAATTATTTTGTTCTGATTTAGAACGGAAAATAAGGGCCAAAACAACATGATTACTAGGTTGTAAGTTTAACCAAATTCTATTTTTATAAGTCAACCTGCCCTTCTTTGATATAAACTTTAAATATTAATGTATATTATTGATTTTAAAACCAACAAAGGTTTATTTTTATTTGTTTTCTTTTCGAAACTGGTAACATAATGAATTTTTCGAAACCAGTTTAATGTTCAACATTATGCAACTGGTTGCGTAAAGTAGATCATTTTGACACTTGTTGCGATTATAAAAGAATGTCACTTTATATGTCAAAATTAGAAAAAATAATTTAAAATACTTTCTTTTAATGATTTTCTAAAAAAAATCAAACTTTTCTGATAAACTCTACCCGAAATATGGCTTGGACATTGACATTGAATTATTTTATAATACTTATTGGAGATCGATTATATCGACACAATCAACCGTTTGATTTAAGTAGTTCTATAATAATTAGTTCCAGCTTAGTTGGGCCATCATCAGGTAGAAGCAGACTCCCTGTGACATCAGGGGAACAAACAACAATGTACTTATAGTTGAATCAGGAAAGACCAGGCAGAGTAATAAAATGTCAAGAATGTTTGAAGAACGCTATCAGAGTTGCCATATCGTTATCCTAATTCGCAAACGTCGGAAGTCCACTTTTTGTCAAAATTGAGATTTAGTCGCCATCGGATTACTTAACACGCTAGTAATCTACCGAATAAAAAACCCGCAGCTGAGAAAACTACTATTTCTTACTTACTATTAGTAATTTTATTGTTTCCTGTAACTAGTAAAAATGGACTTTCGACATGCTAATTAGAGCCACCATGCAGGGTGTTCCAAATTGTTTTACCCAGGCTATAACTTCTAAAGCATACAAGATAATCAAATAGGGCAAAAACCACCCAGTGTAATTGGCGGTGGATTTTGAAACGAATGAAGATTTGACGGCCCACCCCCAAAAAACATCCTCCTGGAACCACCCCCTTAAAAATTCTTACTGAAACCCTATTTTTTGCCCAATTTTGTAGCCGCTACTATTCTTTGTATAACTGTTTCTGAAATTCTCAAATCGCTCCATAAATGAGATATGAAATAAAAACTATATGCTTAGTTGATAATAAAAATACAAGTATGTATTAGGTGATAATAATAAAAAAAAAACAAATTGAAACAAGAGAAGGAGGAAATAAAAAACAAATATCAATAAACAAAGAGTAGTAATAACTTAAGTGCTCAAATTGTCCACTTCCCACTTCCACACATTTGTCAAACTTTAACAATAAATTTCTTTACAGACATCTCGAATCATGGCCAGTGTAAATCTGTTAACAGCATTTCTGATTCTATTTTTTAAAGCTTCCAATTCTTCTGGTTTTGTTTCGTATACTACGTCCTTTATAGTACCACAGAAAAAATCTAGAGGCGACGAATCAGGTGTTCTAACCGGACCCTGGATAATTAGAGAATGTGTGGATGTAACACGGTTTCCATAAGTGTTTGTCAAATATTGGCTATTTGGGCATTATGAGCTGGTGCTCTATCTTGCTGCCACCATATATCACGTCTTTCATTAAGAGGAACACCTTCCAATAAATCAGGAATATTATTAATTAAAAAATCACGATATCTCATTCCCGTTAAAGTGTTATCGTAAAAAAGTGGACCAATAATTCTGCCATTGAACAAACCACACCATACAGATATTTTGAAATCTTGTTTCTCTTACCCAGTGGGGATCTGTGGGGGACCAAGAATTGAAATTATGATGGTTTAATACACCACTATTATGGAAACGTGTTTCGTTGCTCCATAATATTTGATCTAAGAATAGCATTTTTATCGAGTATTTAAGATGCATTTCTGTTTGACAAGAGGCACATTGATATAGTTTTGTTTATATTCCGCTAGAAAACTTACCACGAATTTGGCAGCATGCAACTTGCATGCACTTATTTATGGAGCGATTTGAGAATTTTAAAAACAGTTGTACAGTGATTAGCAGTAAATACAAAACAGTAAAAAAAATTCGGTTGTCATTAAGAATTTTTTAGGGGGTGGTTTTTGGGATAGGTCATTAAATTTTAATTCGTTTCAAAGTCCACCGCCAATTTTACTGGGTGGGTTTCACCTGGTTCGATTATCTCGTATGGTTTAGAAGTTATAGCTTGGTTAAAACAATTTGGGACACCCAGTATACCCGCCATTGAAAAATTTTCTCTTTCCTGAAACCTCCCAAATCTTAAATGAATGACAACATTCTTTACTGCCTATTGTTTTCGGATTAAACTATAGATACACCTCTCAGCGAGGTAATCTACTATTTTATACCAGTAGGACGTTATCATTTATTTTACAACTGTAGGCTGGTTGTCAAGACTAGAAACACATATGGCGTTAAAATAGGAGAAAATATAATGGGTCACCCGGTAATACAACGTTTGCCCAGTACGAGTATTAGCCTCGCTACCAAAGCAATATCATTCAATTTTTAAACAAAATATGCATTAAATTAATACAGAACTAGTTATATTTTATTTCGAGACATTCTGTATGCATTGTGCTAAAAAAACTGTTTCGTTTTTATACTTAAATACCTATATGAGCAAAAATTGACTAGCTTCTTATGATCTAAATAACATTACCAAATAAATTAATTATATAGCTACAATTTGATCAGATTTAAAGGACATTTTCCCAAAAATAATAATAATTTGGGATAAAACACTTAAAACTAATAAACGGTACTGATGAGAGAACAAAATGTGCAAATTAATTCACCATTTATGTTTGAGGACAATGACTTTATTAGATGCTTGACAGTTTTTTATTGTAAATATAATTAAAATAAAAATTGTAGAAAATATATAGCTTTGCTTTGAAATCACAACAATAATATCAATATTCTATTTACATCTAATAGTTGGAGAGCTAGTAACACACATTCCATTAAGTGTTTGATGCACTTTGAAATTTTGTAATTTGAAATCATTTGGATGGAAAAGCAGATATACCTGTGTTGGCTAAACCCACCCCGGGACACCAGGTACTGCGCATAATAGAAAGGGGTCGTAAAATATGACCCAAAAAAGAATTTGATTAAGAGGCCAACAAACAACAATTGAAAGTTTAGATAATTCTAAAAATACTAGTAATTTAGGCAGACACTTTTGAGAGGGTTTATAATTAATAAATCAACCCCAAAGTTGATTTTTATTTTTAAATATGATTTGAAGTGTTTGATTCACGCTGAAATTTTAATAGCGTCTTAATTAATATAAAAAAAAAATTCCAAAAAGGTAGACACTTTTTCCGGGATTTAATTGCCGGCCAACATAAAAATGAATGAACCTCGTTATGCGTCACTATGCATTGAATAAGTATATACTTTTTAAAAACATTTTAAATTACCAAGACTGTGAAATAATAAAACAATATTTTTCCTTTTTTTTTTAGGAAAAAAAAAACTAAAAATTTCGAGGCTCGAACCACCAACTTGCTATCCACACTATCAAAATTTGGATAGATAGATAAGAGAAAAAGTAGAGTTGGGCCATGAATTTTTAATAACACTGTGAATCGTTACTGTGAAATTTATAATACAAATAAATGAGGTTATGCCTTCTTAAAACATTACTAAATTAAATATTCGTTAATATTTTCTTAAAAAACATTTAAGAAATCAATAGAAAAATATGTAAAGAATGTTAGATATTTTAAAACTTCAGTAACTAAATAACATTTCATGAAATATCGTTTGTCAATTTTATTAGGCTATTAAACTAGAATTTTGAAAAACTATTATTGACGTGAACCTTTAGTTCTACGAAAAAACGTTTGAAGAAAACTTTGTATCAAACAAAAAATGTCCACGCGATTGTTATCATGATATCAAGAGATATAAAATATTTACACGTCCTCTATTCTGACCACGCCGATACTCGAATTGCACCACCGAACATTAATAAAAAGTTGTTATCCTTATTTGGGCTAGTTACTGTTCCCGAACCTCTCCCTATAAGTCACCACTGTCCTCCTTGGGAGAAATCGCTAGGCGCTTAGCAGTGGCGTTTTTTGCCTTATATACCAGGGGAATGGGAGGCGGGAAAGCGTAGACGCCGGTGGGTTTTCGGCAAATATGTTATTATTTTTAATATGGTAAGGAGGGCGGTGACCCAAATCCCTCCTGTACCAGTTGCCACTGATGTTTAGTTTGAGTAAATTTTGTTCTCTCATTAGTCAATCATTCTTATCAAATACAAAAAAATATATTAAACCTAGAATTGTACTTTAAAAGAAGTGCGAAATGTAAAATCAGTAGGTATAAATATCAATTGATTCCCTTTTTTTTTTTGAGTAAATAAAGTTTTTTTTTAATATAGACAATTTGTCATCAAAAATAGTTGCCTGAAAAATATTCTCGTTAAATAATTATTGTTTTTATTCACAAAAAAAAATTGTTTTGAAAACAATTCGTTTTAGCGCCGATATATACAGTATCGGTATCATCTTTTTTTTTTATTATTATTATTATTTAGCTCCTGCAAATTTTAGAAATTCGAAGCAGTCAAATTGTTAGGTTAAGAAGTAGCGAAAAAAAAAATGAAAGTTGCTCAAATTAGTTCAAATTTCGTAGGTCGATAGAAAATCGAAAAAAAAAATGTATGTAACATATTTAGAAATTTTGAGAATAAATATGTCAAATTTGACAGGTAAAGACAAAAAAAATGGTCATTTTTTTATTAATTTCGAAGTAAAAACTGTTTATGAACTTTGCTTAAATTAAGTAATTAAAAAAATTTGCAGACACTATTAGTGTTTAAACCAAATAAAATAATTTTAAGGTGAAGGGGGAGAAAAAGTCCTTTATATCTCACAAGGAAATTTCCTTGTGAGATATAAAGGACTTTTTCTCCCCCTTCACCTTAAAATTACCTCAACTCACACATGGCTACCCCCCTTGTCAAAAATAAAATAATATTTTCATTGGCAAAACAATTTAAAAAGTCCCCCAAAAAACTGTTCCCGAAATATTTCGTATCCGACAATTTCATTAATTAATTAAAATTTCCCGAAATTTTGGCAATATAAAATAGATGTGCTAAATTATTTTTATTTCCTACTATTTGTTATCCTTGTAATTAAGGTTTGCGTCCAGTGAGGGGATAATGGAAGAAAGTTTGAAAGAGCAGATGCTAATAAAGCTAACATTTAACAATTTAAGGATCTTACTTTTACCTATAGATAGAAAAGCATTGATCTACAGATAAGTTAACTGGAAGCTTTTATCCAAAAGATTATTTTTCAGAGTTGATTAATATTTTAAGTGACGAATGATTACATGTCAAAATCAATTAGGTATTCTAAACAATATAACTGTCGGTGGTAAGGGTTGGTATATCTCAGGGGTTGTCTTGAACGATGTATTTTAACTACAAAACGTGAAATAATGAATAATGGATTAAATTTAAATATTCTTTGTCAACACAATGAAAATATTATTATACTTATACATTTTTCATAAATTGGCTGGCTTGGCGACTACTATTTCAAATGAAAATTGTGTCCAAGATGGAAGACTATGTCGCAAGCCCCTTAGATATACGAGCTCTTCCCACTGGCAGCTATTGTTTAACGGTTGTTCTGGCTTTGTCAAATGTCATCCATTTTCAGTAATACTAGTCATGTTCACATTCGTAAAACGTGTTTTAAAAATCATAAAATCACGTTTCCTAATCGGTTGAGCTGGCGATGAACTATCGTTTTGTTTACGCTTTGTTTTCTTAACCTCAAACTTTATTATATATCAATTAATTACAGGCAAATAACCATTACTACCGTGTAGTCTATGTTTTCATAGCGAATGAGACAAAAAATATAAATAAATAAACACATAACCTAACAAAATGCTAAAAAAACAGAATTAATGATTTTAAAGCGTAAAAATATACTCTTTTGAAGGGCCTATAGAGCAAACTGAATAAATCCAGTTTTTATTAAACTTAAGTTAGCGGCGGATTTCAACCTAATAAACTTTTGTAAAATTCAGGGTCGAAATCGATGTTCGTGCTCAAACTTCGTCTTCGTGCGATATAGCCATCATATCCACTATTGTTGCACAAAGTACTATTTTCAACGACCAGGAAAGCGAGACCTATCGCACTATTTAGTCTTATGGGAAGTGCCCCATATCACACTCGTGTGCATAAGAATCTACTTTCCACCCGTGTGTGAATATGAATCTTCAGAGTGACCGACGGGAACCTGACGTTTTTGGGATGGCTAGTACTCAGCCGGTAAGAGGAGTAGGGAGCCGAATTACAAGTAATTAATCTCGCCACAGTGTTGCCAGGTATACCATTTTTATGGTATTTATATCACTTTTTTTACTACGATACCAAAGTTTTTAAAGATACCATTTTCCATTTTTTTACCATTTTTTGCCTACTGATACCATTTTACTACCACTTTTAGATTTTTATATCATTCATTATAATAATACGAGTAAAACATAGCACTCTGCACATCTCTACTCTACTAACATTAACAAGAATAGTCTTACATCTCTACTAAAACACGCCAAATAATAGACGATTGCAAAAATGTATCTATTATCGGGGAATTCAAAAATGAAGAGAAAAATATATGGTCTATTTAAAAAAAATCGATGACGTTGTAACGAAAGACGTGCAGTTGAAAATAAAAAGCCAAAGCCCACAAAAAATTCACTAAAATCAGACGGAAAAATGAGAATAACCAAAAACATACATACACGTCACATCTTTGGATTTTTGTACTTACTTTCAGAGACAACTATTACTTTCATTTTTATTTGTTCGTTATGTGTGTAAAACTTCATTATTTCGTGTTATCAAGTTTATTCAAGATACCATTTTTTGTCAGTAAAATACCATTTTTTTAAGTGTCGGATACCATATATTTTTTTTTCATCTGGCAACACTGTCTCGCCATTCGATGCCGTTTCAACTTTCAGTAGCTATGGAGCGGTGGACGGTTGAACATCGGATGTTTGCGTATGACGCATTTGTGCAGAATGGCGGGTCTATTATTACCGTGCAGCGACTTTTTCATATGCGTTTCAATCGTAGGCGTCGTGGAAGCGTTCTAAACCGCAACACAATTCTCAGTTGGGTTCATAATCTACGGACAAGATCTATTGTGAAAAAGAAGCCACCAGGTCCGACTAAGACAGCAAGAACACCAGACAACATCGAGCGTGTGAGAGCTGCTGTGACTTGTAGCCCTGGGCGCTCTGAACGCAAACACGAGCGCGAACTAAGAATGAGCCATGAATCTCTGCGAACAATTTTACAGAAATACCTAAAATTTCACCCTTACAAGATGTGTTGTTCAGAAGCTTGAAGAAAGAGATTATGCGCAGCGGCAGGAGTTTGCTTTTCGAATGCAAGTGCTTTTGGAAGACAATGAGAATGCAGTCATTATCATGAGTGACGAGGCGCATTTCCATTTGGATGGGGGAGTTAATGGACAAAATTTACGGTACTGGTCCTCTGAGAATCCCCGTATCGTGCACGAAAAGCCTCTACATTCAGAGCGTGTAACGGTTTGGTGCGCAACTACTCCATTCGGCATCATTGGTCCTTATTTTTTCGAGGACGAGAATGGTTCAACTGTTACAGTGAATGCCGAACGTTACTGCCAGATGCTGAACACTTTCTTGCGTCCCGAACTGCGCAGGCTATAACTGGATTTGGAAAATATTTTTTTCCAACAGGATGGTGCCACCGCACTCACTGCTCGTGTGTCCATACTATCCATGCAAGTGATTCGAGGCATCTTCCCAGAACGTTTAATTTCCCGTTTTGGCGACATCCCGTGGCCCCCCGAGATCACCTGACTTGAGCACTTGTGACTTTTTGTGGGGGTATCTCAAATCACGTGTATACTCTCATAGACCCCGCACATTGGCAGAACTGAAAGAGGCAATCAGGGAAGAAGTGGCTACAATTGATGGTGAACTGATGACTCGTGTGATGGCCGATTTTTGGCGAAGGCTAGAAAACTGCATTCAAGAGGATGGACACCACTTGCCTGGCGTAATTTTTCACATACTTAAAATGGCATGTCATGACAAACAATTTTGTGTATTAAAATAAAATATCCCGTGCAAAATAACTGTGTACTGTTCATTTCAAAAACGTCAGGTTTCCGTCGGTCACCCAGTACTTTCCATCCGTGTGTGAATATGAATCTACTTTCCGCATAAGCTGGGCAAATAATTTCTATTTTGAGCTATAGAATGTCCATATTAATAAATAAATTAATAAATAAATAATAAATCGATTTGATGATTAAATTGTTAACTATAATTTTTATATCTAGATCTCAGATATTTCTTTTTAACAAATTATTAAAAGAATTTTAAAGTAACTATCTATTCTCAATACATTTAATTATTTTGTAAATTCGTCGATTTGAAAATAGAATTAGTCACTTTAAAGCCTTTAACCACCACTGTTTACATAAATAAAGCAAAAACACAATACCCCATAAAATGTTATCAAAATGCAAATAACGAAGCTTTTGTTAGATTATGACATGCATTCGCCTATCAAATCTACAGCTTACGCATGCATGTTCACTGATATCTCCGAATAAATTATTCTGGGGAGAAGAGGATTTTAACTGGTACAACTGAAGTTGAGAGTACGGTATTTTCTTCTAGATTACATTTTATTCTGCAATATAAATTACTCTATCTGTAGATGAAAATATTGAACTTAAAACTATTAAATATGTTCGGGATCAAACTGGCATCTTTTAGGTCTAGGTTTGATATTGAGCCGCAGGATTTAATATTTTATTTAAATATTTAAAATTTTATTATCAGAAACAGAGGTGTGAGATGTATGTATTGACTATATATTTTCAAATAGGGAAAATTTAGGTGATTTTACCCACCATCAAACTTTTATAAAATAAAAAGTAACGGCTAATTTTATTGTATTGTTTCATAGAGAGGAATATTAAACTACCTATAGTTCAAAGGGAGACAAAATGTCTCTCACCAGTGACAGAATGTAACATAAAACCCCGAAAGAATTGAAAAGAGAGAGAAGTTAGAACGTGAGGAAAACTCTCATTTCCAGTCGAAACAATGGAAATAATTATAATTTAACATTTTTCTATTAAATTTACCCAAATTGCGCGAAATTCCAACAATTAACTACAAAATTATATTACTTTAAAACGGAGTATCCGTTTAATTAATTAAATGCATTTCCCGTTTCTACGATCTTTATTAATCGCTATAAATACCAACACGCAGTTAAAATTATCAGCGTTACTAAATTTTTGTTTGAGATTTGAGAAGTTCAAAAAGGCGTAGTTTTTATTATCATTTAAACGTCGTCTATTGGCAAGCAACGAGATTTAAAAAAAAAAGATCTGTTAATTCTATTTCTAACCCCTAAACATAAAAACAGCGTCGTACGCCACTGGATGCAGCCCTCGTATATTACTTAAAAATAATTAAAGTTGTCATCATTTTTTCGACCACAAAAATGGACGAAAGTTTATCATTTTTATTTCTTCGAATAAAAATCCAACAAATTCCGTTAAGAATGTATGACATCGTAGCTGGGATAAAGCGTAACACAAGGTAGTCTCTTGGAACCTCTTCAAGTTAAAACTTAATATTTTATTTTTGAAATGATAATTTTGGAGGAGTAGGTTAAATATGATAAAAAAAAACTCACAAGGATAATTTAGAAAATTGCAGAAATGAAATATTCTGAAATATGCTTGTTTCGTAAAAAAAGTACCCCAAGTTAAAAGGTCATATTATCAAGTTAAAACGTCATATTGTCAGCATTTACGTTAAAAATTAAAATAATTTTAAACTAAAAAGTAAAATTAAGAAAAGAAGAGGATATATTTAAGATGATTACAACACCCCTTATAATTTTCGGACCAGCATATATTAAAATTTTGGCAAACTAAATTAGGCAGTAATATCTAGAATATGCATATATTTTATAGTTATTCCCATTAATTCCCGTGGTACATGGATAATTTTATTTCTGACAGATTTCAATAAAATTTTGTTCATTTTTAAAACGGAAAAAATGTACCAATTTATTACCTACCTATACCGGGAATCAGGTACCGTTGATTACAAGAGTTTTGTTGTTGCTATGTTACTTGCTTATTGTTGTCTACTTTGCCATTAGAAGAGACAGGTACCTCGACTGTAGTGAACAGAAGATCCAGCCATACGAAAGAAGAAATTGTTTGCAGTGGCGGTAGTAATTTTCAGGGAACATTTCAAAATTGTACATTTATTATTTGTAATGACGCTAATAAATAAAATATAGTTCAGTTTTCATTTCATAAATATATACACATATATGTATATTAGCATTTTTTATTTTATTTTTACTTGTGAAAGGTAGAGGGAATTATAGAATCTATAATGTCACAAGGGAGTTATGACCCTCTTTATTGATAGCGTAACTATGACGATATAAGCTTATAATATCTCTGTCAGAAATAAAAGCTTTAATTCCTTCCAGTTTCCGAGAAAAAAAATCAAAGGGCTTTAAATATTAAAATATAATGAAAATAAATGCATTACTCAACAGCACTGTTCTTAATATAATCCCCAAATTTAAGCTCTTAATATCTTGTTAATGATTTTTTTAAAATTCGCCAAAATTAGTGGCTAAAACGCCTCGTTAAGTGCTATCTTCTGGTGTAAACTAGTACAAATCTTGGCAAGAAACGAATGAAGACTAAGGGTGTACGATAGTTACAGGCGCGTTATACCAGAAGGCAGCACTTAACGAGGCGTTAGAGCCTCTAATTTTGGCGAATTTTAAAAATTCATTAACAAGACATTAAGAGCTCAAATTTCGGGATTATATTAAGAATAGTGCTGTTGAGAAATGCATTTTATTTTTATTATATTTCAAAATATGAAGCTATTTGATTTTTTTTCTCGGAAACTGAAAGGATTGTTGCCAAAATTTAATTTTTTTAACAAAATTACTGTTTGACATATCCTTGTCCGAAAATTATAAGGGGTGCTGTATTCACGTTAACATTTCTATGGAAATTTTACAATCTAAACATTTTGACTATTCGAGCAAAATTTTGACTTATGAAGGAGACCTTTTAATGTTTGAGGCAATATTTAGGGTATGGTCCGTTATTAACCGACTACTAACCACAAGTAACCATGATTTTTTGACAGCGGTTCCTGAAAAAAAAAAACTAATTTCTTGGTTAATTTTGGACCACGGCCGATATTTACGTCACTTTTGTGACAGATTGACATTCGACTTAATAGTAACCGTAAAAATTTAGCGGTTAGAAAATTGACGTTTAAGTCACCATTTTTCAGGTAACCGCGTCCCTAAATTAACCGATTTTTCAGGAATGTCAAGTAGAGCAGTTAGTTTTGGACCGAGTAACCGATATTTCGGTTAATAACGGACCATACCCTTAGACATTTAGCGTGACATTTTCACGTCATATGTCAAATCAGTCAAAGATGGCTGCTTTTTCTTGTAACCACCTTGTGATTACTTAAAATCAGATCAAACTTACCATAATTTAGCTAAAATAAAACCCACCAACCACAAGTTACGACGTCATACCAATCTTAACGCACGCGCTCCTCAAATTTTCGATTCACCTAAAAAATTAACAGAAAAACTTAAACGATTTCGTACGTAGTAAGAGGTTTGAAATCTTTGACATCGGAGGCGTTTTTGGATCGCACGTAACCCCACAATTTCATCGCGTCTTCGCAAACCTCCTCGATAGTCTGGATCTCTGTGTAATTCAAGTCGACTTTCCAATGAAACGGTGCGCTTTTCGAATCCCTGAACGTGCTCGAAACGCCTCCTATGTTGAAACGAGTGTGGGAGTCCAAAAAGCGCCGCACTTTGCTGTGGAAATAAAGACCTAAGAATTCGAAGAGGTCTTGGACTATCTCTTGCGGATTAAGCGAAAGGTCCTCGTATCGTAGAACCCTGAAAAAAAAAACGGAATGTTATTTGTCTTTACGGGGATTGCCCAAATGATTTTATTTATTTAATCATTTAAATTTGTCAATTTCTTTCGAATCGTCTGTTGTCTTCTCTTATCACTACGGATTTTAGGAGTATGATTTCAAAGGAAAGTATATTGAAAGCGATAATGTTAAAATTGTGGAAGAAAAGCAATAAAACATGTCATAGCACTAAAGGTACCATTTCGGACGCGACGGCAAAGGAGACCAAGAACGGTCTCTTCACGTCTCAACACATGCAATTATATTAATTACGTGAGGTATTTTTGAGGATTTTTTGACCCTCCCTCCCTCCCTGGTGAGATTTCATAAGATTTTCCTCAACTCCCTTTCCCCTCCCCTAATATCACGTGAGATTTGTCAAAATTTGTGTTTTGAGTGTAAACACGTTGGATAATTAAAAAAAAAAAAAAAACAAAAAAATATGTTCTATTACTTTTATTTAAGACTAGCCAAAGACTAGTATTTGAGAATATTGCCGTAATTTAAAATCACAGTGATAAAAATAAATAATAAATACTTTAAGGAAAATTAATAGAAGATTTATTCTAATTTAGTCCATGGGGACTCGTGCACGGCCTCAAGACTGATTACTGGAACCAACATATTCAAGTGATTTTTCAATGAAATCATCTGCTTATAATATTTTGCCATATTTTATTGTAGAAACATTCTTTACTTTAATTTAACTTTACTTTCATGCAATTTTACACCGTTTTCTACTAGAAAAAAAAATTACGTCAGATTTACAAAGACCCCCCTCCCCTCTCACCCAAGTGAGATTTGGAAAGATTTAGCTTGATCCCCTCCCCCTTGAACACCTCACGTAATTAATGGACGCCCCCAAACACATTTCGCAAGACGCGACCGGTGCGAGAGATAGAACTCGACGACAGGTAGATCGGTCTCGGAGTAGAGCGTTTGCTGCCTGTCGCACTCAGTCCTCAGTCATCGCTTGTATATCGAGGTGATTAGTCGATACTTTATAGAAATGGTAGTTGCAGAGTTCTTTCGATCTAGGCAGTGTTGCCAGATGAACATTTTCTGGAACAGTATGGGTGAAAAAAAAAACCGTAGATCTGAACAGTAGATTTTAATACAGGGGGAAATAATTATAATTTGCAGTGTAGTAAATAAAAAAAAACAAGTTTATAAGAAACGAAATATAAACATTTTTCTACCCAAATTAGAAAGTAACAAAGATTAAAAACAAATAATCAAATAATAACATTTTTAATATATACTTAACGTACGAAAACAAAAAAGAAACCACTGAAAAATAATAGGTACTTCTTTAAGATCAGTCTGAATCAAGAGAATTCAAACACGTTGTGTTTGGCATGCATGTTCTTTTTATGATGCTCTAATAATTATTTGTTGCATTTTAAATAAAAACATAATGATTATCTTGAGGTTTTTTTTATCTACAGTAGTGGATGCTGCTTTCACTACAGCAAATTTACTAGAGAAAATATTTTTTGGCCATTTCCTGAAGAATGAGGCAAACTTAATAAATTAAGAACAAAATTTGTTAAGTTGGCGAAAACAGTAGATTTCATGCCTAAAACAGGAGAACAGAGACAAAAACAGTGGATCTACTTTAAAACAGTAGGTCTGGCAACAATGATCGTTCCCTCGAATTGTCGTCTGCGGTTGTCGCGTCGCCTGTCTCCTTGCTTCCCAAATGTGTGAAGCGTAACGTAAATGCATCTGTCTCCTTTTCCGTCGCGTCTGTTGTCGTCTGTCGCCCTTCCGAAATGGTACCTTAACCCGATTTTTTTAGCTACACCTCGTAGAGTCAGGGACCCATCAAATATGGGTAAATTAATATACATTTATTTCATGTAGATATTTTATAATACAGTATCGGCTACCAATTACCTTCGAACGTTACAACGCAGTCGGGACATATAAACTGGAAAGGCTGATGTTATTCGTTTCCAGCTCGTTCTAATGCTAACTCTCTGCAGTTTTCACATGAACTTGTGTAAAGTGCATTAGAAAATGTTCAGTGCCGACACTGTATGTACATACAATTATTACAAAGAATATTTCAAATTCACGATTCACATAATCCTTTACAGCAGTGTTTCTCAAAGTGTGCTCCGCAAAGCCTTTGTCTTTGTGGGGGCTCTGCGAAGAAAATAATAGACAATAAAAAAAAACAAAAAGAACAGGACTATGAGACCAAAAGGGAGGACCTTTTTTTAGAACTCCGTCGCTTTTCAAAAAGGTTCCGTCGCCAAAAAAGTTTGAGAACCACTGCTCTAGAATCGAAATTATGTTTTTAAAAACTTTTTGAGTTTATTATTTATTGATCTTTTTGTTAAATTTTATCCAGCATCTGGTGTATGAAAATTATTTAAAATTCTAGTTCCAAAATTATGAAAATCTTTATTTTGCTTAAATTTATTTCACATGTTAAAAACATATAAAAACAAATCTTTAGAACAAATATAACGAAGCAGAGGCAGAAAACCATATATCACAAATAGTGGTCGAGATAAATCATAATTAGAAACTACTTATTATACTATAATGAATACACATCAAAGTTTCATGATCTAAAATTACTGTTACTAAACAAGTAACTCAAAATTAATTTATTTTCAAAAAATAGCAGTAGGATTTAATATCCAAAAATCTATTAATATACAAACAAGCACATAAATTTAATAGGTTGCAAGGTACTCATTATGGAACTCTAAAACGAAAAAGAGATATGAACTTAAAATCTTTAGCAAAAATCAAGCTCTATAAGGGAAAAAGATCTTTGATTTAAAAAAAACTGAATAAAAATTGTGTAATCATGAAGGTGTTTCCGCAAGCAGTGTTCCGTTAGTAATTCCACAATGATGGATATCTAAGGCCAGGCATTATATATTATATATCTTCATTCTAGTTTGCAACTGCCAACTGATAGTTGAAAATGCAAGTACGATTTGCAGAGCTTCTGTAATCTCACCCTACGCACAGTTTAAAGAATATATAATTCTTTAAACTGTGCCCTAATTCTGAGAGAAATAGATAAGTAGCAATAGACACCTTAATCCGATGCTCAAATGGGCATAATTAATCCAGAAGTATTTTTTATTGCTTGTGACTGAGTACCAAATTTTTGTCGCAAAGGTCCCATAAGAGTTATTAGTAATTTTAAGTACTACAATTATTAATTTAATAAAAAGATAGACAATCATTATAATTATTAAGTTAAAATTGGGGTAAATAAAATATGTTTACAATTATTTCTCTCGCATCCTCTATACCTACTTAATTTTAATACAATTTTTTGTTGAATCAAAATGTTTATTAACTTTTAATGTTTGTTATTTAAATCTAAATTATTTAATAGCACATTTATGATTTCGAAACAATAGTTGTATATGTTTAATGTTTCGCTAATTAATGTTTATTACAAGCAAATTTTTAATTAAAAATTATTAGGTCATTGCAATGCATTTATTAAACAATAAATATTGCAACAATGCTTATTTAATAAAAATGTTACATTTTCATTTTAAACGAAAATATTAAACAAAAACATGGACTGTCATAATAAATTATTAGTTTTTTAGATTTTTCTCGATTTAAAATTAAACAATTTTCCAAATTTATTTTTATTATATATATTTGTATGATCTATAATACTGTTTGTTTTTTTTACACCCATATGTACATTATCCACTTGTGCACAAATTACAGAACGAAAATGGCGATATTAATCTACTGAACGGATATAATTTCATATCTATACTAGCAAGGATATGAAACCTACGGATCCACCAATCACAGCTCATATTTATTATCTGACTTACTATTCTATTTTTAAATTTTAAATTACTGAATAATACTGTCAAACTAACTGAGAGTATATTTTTAAGTAATTGAGATAAAATATAATTAAAAATATGATTTGTCCAACACGTGAGTACCGACCCATAAAATCAAAGAGTGTGTAGAAAATAAACTAAAGATAAAAATCATTCAAAACATTTTTTTATACCTTCACTTCCAACAAATTCAAATTTTGCACTTTTCTCAAATATCTCCGTTACGATCCTTTTTAGAGAAATCATGTATTTACACTTATTGAAAGAGTTTTCTTCTAATCATAAATAACAGTAAAATACCCTCCAAATGCTCCGACTATGCCTAAAATCTAATCAATTCCCTGCAGCGTGAATTAAAGTTTGCGTTTAAAATTCGGTGTGTTCATCTTTATTCTTTTTTGAATTATCGTGGATACAGACACACACAGAGGCAGACATCATCGCGAAAATGGTCAAAACGTATTCAGGGGACCTCAAAACGTATTCAGGGGACCCCAAACCGTAAAGATCCGTCGTTCCAACGAAAACTCGATGTCGAAAAAAAAAATCAGGATTCCTATACTTTCCTTACTGGATATAGGAAAGTAAAAACGAGCGATTCTTGTAAATAATCGATAAAAAATGCCAATTCACTGTATATTCATTTATATTTACGAATAAACCGTAAAATAAGGAAAAACAATATAATCTCAAAGCCATGCGTCACGTGTCTTGTGCTTTAAAAACAATTAAATTATAAATTAAGCCATAACAGAGTGTTAAGTTTCCGTTCGAAAAGTCCAGGGTTCAAATCCCGAGTGAAGCCAAATTAATTTTTTTCAAGTTTATTTTATAAATTAGTAAAAATCATAAATTAAAATTAATTATTTTTTAAATAGTTATTTTATCTTCAAAACACCTAAATTCATTTTTAAAATGTTGTAATTTTGCGTAGTGGGGCGTATAAAAAATATAGTGTGAAACTAAGGGATTGTCCGTATCGCACTCAATTAGATCACCCATACGAATTCTCTATTTTTTTAACAGACTCCAACTATATACTTTTTTCAGTAATCAAAAGTTCTAATCTGGCACAAAGTTTTATGATTTACGCTTTACGCGTGGAAGGTAAACGCTCTGTTCTCAACTCTAC